AATTAATGAGAAGCAACTAAGTAACAGACACCACTCTAAGTTCCAGGGACGACATTAAACTAAAAATAAAACTCCTGTACTTATGTAGGATAGTGGAGAAAACAGAAAATAAACAAATAATTAAGGGGTTAGTGAGATTTTAGAGGTGCTATGTTAATGAGAATGGTCAGGCTTCCCTACAGAGCTGATATTCTCAGAGATCTGATTAGAACAAAGAATATCTGAAATGGCACTGAAGTGGACCATGCTTTATATGTTTCAAAGATAGCAAAATTAGCATACATAATGGAATGACCAAAAGAAGAATGGTAAGAAATAAGAATGGAAAAGTATCTAGGGGCTAAATCATATAGACCTGTTTAAGACACATAATGAAATCATATAGGTTTTCATAAGCCATGGTAATGCTCCAATCTCTGCATCTGTCATTGCATGACCTTCTCCAAATATGTCTGTGCCCATTTTCCTCTTAAAGGGACTCAGCAGCAGCAGCATAACCATGTGTATTTTCAATAATCCCACTGACAGTTGTCTTAAAATTAGGCAGATCTGCATAGTATTTCTTAAAGATGGAGATGGGCCAAAATAAAATAACAACCATTGTAAAATCTCTCCTAAATTATATTCTCTTTAAAGTGCTGATATCTTTTAGTATTTTTCAATGTCGTAATAAAATGTAGTATCTTTTAGAAAAGTCAGAGTGAAGAAATAGGCATCAGGTTGTTTGTATAACTAATCACAGATGCTTGAATGAGATCTTCCCGTTTGCTGACTAACATTAACTACTTGTACTACTATTGTATTTACATTATTATTGTGTTACTTAGTACATTGCCCCAGCATACTATGAGGCAGACTAGCTGGGGAAGTCACAGTTGATTTTGAAGCCCAGGCAATGCCCTGTAGAGTTTCAGAGGCAACATTTTCTTTCACAGACAGGAGTAGGCCCTTAACTAATCAAAAGAATCGAATGAGAAGAGCTTTTTTCCTGTCGTCTCCAAGATCAAATGTGAACAGAGCGGGCATTAGAAGGTGCTTCTGAGCTGTGTTCCACCAAGCCACAGACATGGAAAAAGTAATGTCTCTTTTGCTAGACCAGCGATTTTCAACCTTTTTCATCTCATGGCACACAGAAACTATTAAAATTTTGTGGCACACTAAAAAGTGGTTTTTTTGCTGATCTGACAAAAAAATAGGGGGAAATTTGATTCATTCACAATGGATGGCTATTGTTGTGTTAGCTGTTGTCATTTTTTTACAATCTGAGGTGAGTGCCCCTGACTAAATAGTCAGATATTGAATGTTTAAAAAAATTGTGAGGTACACCGGTTGAAAATCACTGTGCTAGACTCTCTAGTAGGAAGAGCAAAAATAGAGATTCCCCTTACTTGCCTTCCTTATTTTCCTTCTAGAGTATTTGTTTAAACTTATAGTTATCTGTTTATATTAATGCTTCATTTATTCTTCACTGTGGAGAATAAGCCATTTCATTTGTGGCAATTCTCTAGATAAGTGGAAAGTATTTCTGGAAGCAGAAAATATAAACACTACAAATATATTTTGCTAGACATGTTTCTAAAACATATTATACATTTGTCTGCCTTTGAAATTTAAGGAGGTCTCAGAGAAATTGTGGAGCAGTAACAGGTTACCTTGAAAACTCTTCTGCTTCTCGCTTATGTTATTACCATACAAAACAAGGGCAGGGAATAGCTGTGACTTGTCTGTGACAGTCTTCTGTGCCCAATCACAACCCAGTTTGGGATGAGAGCTCTTACTGGTTGGGCAGTCTGGTTATGCCTGTTGGTGCTGGGAGTGGGGAGATGAACCCCTGGCACAAGCAGAGAAGCCACAGATGCTTCTACACGAACAAAAGAGAAAATAGAGAACCAACATGTAAATTTGATGAAACTGCATGTAAATTCGATGAAACAGGAGCAGAATCAGGGATTTTCAGGTTCCGAAGCTTAAGGGAGAATTCTGTGGATGAGTGATCATGAGCTGTTTCCTGCCTTTCAACAGGGAGCTGAGCTCCTTCCTGCGAAAGTATTTGTACTCAACCCAATGAACCCATCCGTGACATATAAACTAATACCAAGAACTGATGAGCAAGCCAGAAGCAGCTAATGTGACACTTAACAAAGCTCATATTAGTGTCATGGCAAAGTAATGACAATATATCAACACATTGATGATGCAGCTCAGTCAAAACCACAGGGAAAAAGGAATGAATTTACAGTTTACCTAATTTTATCATTTTAACCTAAGAAGCATCCAAATCCTTTTTCTTATTATCTGAAAACGAGGCACAAATCTGAATACTAGTAGACAGGTTTCAGTTCAGTGGGGACTGTGAATCAGCTGTATTCATGCCTGTACTCACATTCAGACATATTTAAATCTCCATGTGGAACACAAGCTACCATCTTCTGCCTCCTCAATCCTGGCATAGCCTATCTTTCTGGAAAACCATTATAATTCAGAGATAAGATTATTTGCTGAGAAAAAAAGATGAGTGACTAGTGATGTCCAAAAAAAAAGTGAAAATAATAACTATGTATGGTGCCAAGTGGGTACTGGCAATATTGGGGGGATCACTTTCTAAAGCATATGATCATCTAACCACTGTGCTGTGCATATGAAACTTAAACAAGATAGTATTGAATGTAAACTGTAAATGAAAAATAAAATGTAAAACAATACAGAAGCACCCTTGTAGAAAAAAAGATAGCTTTAATACAAACAGTTATTCCCAGAGGCACCAAACCTGCAATGTCTATAACCATAACTTGCAGCCTTCCAAATTGTTAAAAGGTTTCTCATACTGGCGAGTTGTTTGCTTCAGTGTGTTTTCTTAAATAGATAGGGGTTATATTTGAGGACAATCAGAACTATTATAAGTGAAGAAACTATATCTTTTATTTTTTAAATATTTTTATTTATTTCAGAGAGGAACAGAGAGGGAGAGATTGAGACATCAATGATGAGAGAGAATCATTGCTCAGCTGCCTCCTGCCCACCCCCTACTGGGGAATGAGCCTGCAACCTGGGCATGTGCCCTTGACTAGAATTGAACCCGGAACCCTTCAGTCCACAGGCTGACGCTCAATCCATTGAGCCAAACCAGCTAGGGCAAAGAAACTATATTTTTTTAAATGGTAACAAAAATTTATAAGACTATTATCAGAAAGGTTTCATGATATCAAAAAACATGAACTTATCATCTCACCTCTGACTTTTCATCTATGGATTCTAATTTTAGAGACAAATCCTGTTTCTAGGCTCTTCATCATTTTATAAATCTTGAATTTATTCCTGCCAACAAATTTGGTTTCCTCAATTAACTTATTTATCTTGAGCATTTCAGGTTGTTTTACAAACCGTGGTGATCACATATGTCTACGCTGATATGGACAACAACATTTGGTTAGGGATCAATTTGGACAGTTTGATCATTCTCTGAAAATGATACCTCTAAACCTATCTAACCCAAAGCTTTCCAATCAAACCTATATATGCAGAAGCTTTACCTTGTGAGGGAAAATTGATCTCAGGTATTGTCATGTCATGATGAGTCAATTAAAGATAATTAGTTTAGTGGACACCTTCTAACCTGATCATGTTTCTTTGACCCCATAAATGGCATGCAAAGCGGTATTCCTCAAACTATCTCCCTTAGAAATATATTGCATTTTAAAACATTAAAGAACTAACTTCCTATGTCAACCTTGTAAGTCAATGTTCATTGAAAATTTTATGGGAACTGAAACTGAAATCCATGGGAACTTCAGAAAGTTTCAGGTGATCGACACAGGTAAGTCATTGCTAAAGATTGTCCTTTGATGCTTCTATTTCTCTACCAACAGCCTGGTGGGTGCATGCTTTCAAGCTTGCTTGGCTACCTGCTACAACAGCTTTCAAATTGTTCTTCCCACTTGTAGCTCCCTCCTTCCTAAGATTCTCCCTACAGCCTAGCTTGTTCACTCCATTGAATTATTGCTTCATGGAAAACACGTTGAAAATAGCACATAGCTGCTAGAAAACCAGCAGTGGCCTATGGTTGATTAGAAAAATTTGTTCTCTTCATCATGGAAGTCCATGCAACTTTCCACTACAACATTTCTCTGATATAAAATGTTCTCTCCCCTCTTCTCTGCCAAAGTCCTAGTTTTTATTCACTGTGCTCTTAACAAAACCTTTTACTCTCAAGACAAATCTGATGGTTGAATTCTCCTCATTTACATTCCCCAAGTACTTCTTTATGCTACATGAGTCTCACTAACCCACAATTTTAAATTTTGGAAAAGTATTCTAAAAAGGTTTATTTTCTCTTCCAACCTAAATTGGAAACTTCTTCAAATCTGAATCTCTTTAATTTTGTTTTAGATTTGCCATTTCCCAGTAATACAAGGAGATGTTAGCACATATATTTTTCTCCACTCTGACAATCTCTGTTTTTTAATTGGTGCATTTAGGCCACTGACATTCAAAGTGATTGTTGATATTCTTGGATTAATATCTACCATATTAGTTACTGTTTTCTATTTATTGCCCTTATTCTTTGTCCTACTTTTGTCTTCCATTCTTTTTATGACTTCTGTGGTTTTAATGGAGCACTTTATCTGATTCTCTTTTCTCTTATTTCTTAACATGTGGATTTTTACTTTAATTTTTAAAAATTTAAATAGTGCCCTAGAGTTTGTACTAGTAATTACATTTACAGCTAATCCAAGTCCACTTTCAAATAACATTATACCACTTCACAGATAGTGTGAGTAATTTATAATAACAAAATAATATTAATTCCTCTCTCTCATCCCTTGTATCATTTCTGTCATTTACTTCACTATATATAAGTGTAGATAAGCATGTGTGTGTATATATATATATATATGCATAAAAATATAGAAGCATACACAATCAAATACATTGTTGATATCATTTTGAACAAACTGTTATCTGTCAAATTAATTGAGAATAAGAAAAAATATTTTTTTCAGGAAGATGGTGCCAAAAGTGAAAAAGGAATCCCCTGCCCCTCCCAAAGCCAGAGTCAAAATAAAGGCTTTGAAGGTAAAGAAAGCAGTGCTGAAAGGTGTCCAGAGTCACACAAAAAAAAAAATCTGCACATCACCCACCTTCCGGCTGCTGAAGACATGGAGGCTCCAAAGGCAACTTAAATATCCTCAGAAGAGCAGGAGAAACAGCTTGACTACTATGCCATCATTGAGTTCTCCGTGACTACTGAGTCAACCATGAAGAAGACAGACAACGACAATACACTTGTGTTGATTGTGGATGTCAAGGGCAATAAGCACCAACAGATAAAACATGATGAGAAGAAGCTCTATGACATTGATGTGGCCAAAGTCAACACCCTGATCAGGCCTGGTGGAGAGAAGAAGGCATACATTTGACTGGCTCCTGACTATGATGTTTTGGATGTTGCCAATAAAATTGGGATCATCTGAACTGAGTGCATCTGAGTAATTCTAAATATAAACATTGTACACTGTAATAAAATAAAATAAGAAATAAATTTTTAACATTTTTTTCACTTAGTTCTTCAATGCTTTCCATTTTTTTGTGAAGATCTGAGTTTCATATACATATTGTTTCACTTCCCTCTGAAGGACTTGTTTAAACCTTTTTTCCAAAGCAGCTCTAGTGGACACAAGTTCCATATTTTTATTTTGTCTGACAATCTTTATTTCTCCTTTATTTTTGAAAGCTAGCTCCACTGGTTACAGACTTCTAGGTTGGTGGGTTTTTCTCTCTCAACATTTTAAGTATTTCACTCTATTCTCTTCTTGCTTGCATGGTTTCTGAGAAGTCACATGTGATTCTTATCTTTTTCTGCTATAAGTAAGGTGTTTCTTTCTTCTGACTTTTTTCAAATTTTTTTTCCTTACCCTTGATTTTCTATGATTTAAAATGATATATCTATGTGTAAGTTTTTTGTTTGTTTGTTTGTCTTATTGTGTTGTGTTTTGGGGCATATAATCTGTTGTGTTCGCTGAGGTTCCTGAAATTGTGGTTCAATATCTGTCATTAATTTGGGGGAACTTCTCTGTCATTTTTGTTTCAAATATTTCTCTAGTCCTTTCTTTCTCTTTTCTCCTATATTCCCATTAATCGTATGTTACACCTTTTGGGTATTTTGTTCTATTTTTCGATCTTTGTTCTCTTGTGTTCAAGGATTCTATTGATGTACCTTCTAGCTCAGAGACTTTTCTCACCCATGTCTAGTCTACTAAAAAGGCATTCTTTCTGTCTGTTACAGTGTTGTTTATCTCTAGTGTTTCTTCTTTTTGGTTCTCTCTTAGGATTCCCGTCTCTCTGCCAACACTGCCCATCTCTTCTTGCACATTGTCTACTTTATCCATTGGAGCCCTCAGAATGTTAATTATAGTTCTTTTAAATTCCCAGTCTTATCATTCTGACATCCTTGCCATGTCTGTTTCTGATGCTTTCTCTGTCTCTTCAAGTAAAAATTGGTATGCTTTGTAATTTTACCTGGATGGCTGAACATAATGTATTGGATAAAAGGTATTGCTGTAAATAGATCTTTAGTAATTCAGTGGTGAGGTATAGGCAGAGAGGAAGCCTTCTATAGTCCTAGAATTAGGTCTCAGTCTTTTTTGAGTTTATGCCTTTGGACTGTGAACTTCAAAAGAGTTTCTAAGAATTCTCTCCCCAATTAGATGTGACAGGATGGCTAGAGTGAACTGGGGTTGAGCATTTCTCTTCTCTAGGTCAATTCGGTACTGATAATACCCCAGGAAGTCAGGCTCTAGTTAACTTGCTTCCCCTGAGGGCAAGCCATGTTAATAAGAACAGAGTGCTCTGGTGTGTTTTTAAATGGTTTATTTTTCTCTGCCTCTATTGGAAGCCTGTGGAGATTTTTGCCTGCTATTTACTCCGGGAACTTGGTGTAGATCCTGGAGGTAAATCTCACAATGTTGTGCACTCCTACCCTCTGCCCCATGACTGGCTCTCCCTGGAGTTTTCAACTCACAGACTTGTCCACACTGAGTGCCCAATAATTTATCAATTACATTTCAGATTTTCCTACCTGGGCTCTGGTCCCATGGTGGTTTCCACTTGTGAGTGAATCTCCGCTCTGGTAAGCCCTGACTCCCTGTATTCTCCTGTCCATTTCTCCAATCTTGAGAGCAGTGGTTTGCCCTGTGTCTTCTACATTCTATGGATCCAAAAGGAGTTGTTGATTTTTTAGTCTCTTCAACTTTTTCCTTGTTAGAATGAAGTGATAGTTTTAGGCTCTTTACATACAGACCAAACACCCAAGTTCCCCAAGGGAATAAATATAGCCAGGAACATAAATCAAGCATCCAAACAGAAAGATAGCCAAAACCACACCCTAGGTAAGCTATTCTGGGTGGGTTGGTAATGTCAAATCATTGGGACACCTGAGCTTCCTGGACCAGCTAGTGTCTTTCCAGGAAAAGACAAAAATACAGTAAAAACCCAAGAGTCTGACCTAAAGTAAGAGCTAAGTCTAAGTGTAGAGTTAAGTCTATATATTTAAATACAAACCCACAAACAAATGTTGATAAGAAGTCAATGAGTTCCTAATAAAATTTTAAATAGTTCCCTTTCAATTTTAATGAGACATTGATACTTGGATATAGTACATATGTTTATAATAATAGGTTATTATTAGCAGTAAACTATCACATCTATACCTCATTGTTTCTATAGAATTTTAGGCCATTGATGTTATAATCTTAGGCTGTCCACACAGATATGGGCTTTTTCTATGTGGCAGTTGAACATTGATGGGAGGTAGAACAAGAAGAGGAAATAAACAAGTTCTTCATGTTCAACTCTCGGGATCAAGCCCCTTTCCCATCCCTTCTTTCATTCTGTTTGTCTTTTTTTTTCCTTTGGGGGAATATATAACATTATATTTATTTCAGGTGTATAAGACAATGATTTGATATATGTATATATTGTGAAATAATCACCAGGGTAAGTCCAGTTAACATCCATTACCACATATAGTTAGACATATTTTTTCTTCTGATGAGAACTTTTAAGATCTACTTTAAAAAGAAAGAAGTACTTTTTTAGTAACTTTCAAATATGCAATACAGTATTATTAACTAGAGATACCATGCTACACATTGTATCCCATTTGTCTTTATATAAGTTTCTATATAAAGAAATGTTTCATAAGTAATAGTCTAATATGCTTGTCCTGCAAAAGAGGATTTTAATTTAAGGAGAATTTTAAGGCAAGCAATAGTAAGAGAATGATTTCAATCATGCATGTTGCCTTTAAAACAAAAATGCAGCACTATACAATGAGTTGTTTTTATATCACACTTTTCTTATAAGAACAAATTTGCCATGAGATGACTATCATTTGAAGTCCATATTCCTTGCTCAAATGAAAGCAAAAGAAATAATTTGAATGGAGTTGAAAAGACCAAGAAATAATTTGACAATAAAGTTTAGAATTGAGTTTGTTCTGAAATGTCCATATCACACTTGAGAATAATCCTCTCCACCCAATTGTGGTAAAGCTTCCTTACATATTAAAAAAAAATGATTTCAAAGACAAGGATTTTCAGACTCTGCTATATCCCTTTCTTAGCGAGAACTAGACAATTATATTAACACTATATAGTTGCTTAGTTCAAGCCAAAGTACATAAAAAGAAAACAGATAAGCAAACAACTTAGATTTCTTAAATAGAAGAATCCATTTCTATAGGTAAATTATTTCTAAAAACAAGCAATAATAACAATAGGTAAATGTCCCTTACCTTGCTCCTTCAAAACTGCACTCATAAAAATTAAGTAAAAGAACAAGCCTAATAGACTCACCTGAATACAGATTTTTTAATCCAGGGACCTTTTGACTTCATAAAACCCTATTTCAGAGCAACTGTATCTTTCTAAATTTATAAACTTTAAGTCATAAAGCCATAGATTTAGATTATATAGATATTCAAAAATTGTGTAATCAATTAAAGTAAAGGAAATGCTATCTCTCAGTTTTGGACACTGCTGTTGCATCCTATATAATAAAAGCCTAATATGCTAAGTGTCTGGTCATCTGTTCAACCAATCAAAGCATTGGGCCTCTCAACCGCTTGATATGATGTGCACTGACCACCAGGGGGCAGATGCTCCAACCAGTAGGTTAGCTTGCTGCTGGGGTCCGGCCGATCAGGACTGAATGAGACAGGCCAGACATGCCCTGGAGCCCTCCCATGGTACCCCCTCCCCCTGCTGGCCAACCTCCCGAGGCCCTTGCCAGCCCTGATTGTGCACCAGTGGGGTCCCTCAGGCTGGCCTGCACCCTCTCGCAATCCGGGAGCACTCAGGGGATGTCGGAGAGCTGGTTTTGGCCCAATCCCGCTCAATGCAGGAGCTGCCCCCTGGTGGTCAGTGTGCTCCCACAGGGGGAGCACCGCTCAGCCAGAAGCTGAGCTCATGGCTGGCGAGCGCAGCAGCAGTGGTGGGAGACTCTCCCCTGAGGGCTCCCAGACTACAAGAGGGGGCAGGCCAGGCTGAGGGCCCCCCTGCCCCGAGTGTACAAATTTCGTGTACCGGGCCTCTAGTTAATCATATAGAATAGCAATGCAACCTCCTTAAAATCTTTGTGGACTTATAAATAAATCTGAATGACTCCACTCCATTTAACAAACGCCACATTGGAAATTGATTTCAAAACATGCATTTCCTCTCTACACACTACTAATTTGGGGATAGGTTACCGTGCTCTTTAGGTTCATAGAGACTATTTTTTCCTAGTTGAGATAGTCTATAGGCACTAACTTCATTCATTAAGAAGTCTTAACCAAGACTTCCTAATTTGATCCTTGTCCATAAAACTCAGAGTTTACTCTGAAGCTTCTACTCTTAAAGAGAACTGATGTGAACAGTTTAAATTTCAAATCAACAAAAGCCTGATCCCACCTAAATTCTACTTGCAAACTTACCAGTTATTTTTTAGTCTCTTCTTTCTTTCATTTTTTATCATATATAGCTATAATCAACCAGCTGGCACTTTCAACATTCTCCTTTGAGGTTTTTTGTTTGTTTTTGTAGCCAAATCCAGAGTATATGAGGCAATTATTTCATATATAATTTGGGTTATCAACTTCCTTGTCTCCAAGATCATTTTTTTTACCATGTTCCAAATACTGCTAAAAATTTATTCTCTATTTTGCCAGCCCCAGATCTATGTTAGTATTATGGCAAGTCCCCATTTCAAGAACCAATTTCTATAACAGTTCACTTTTACTGTGTAACAGATCAGTCAAAAAATAGTGATGTAAAACAACAATTATTTTTATTGCTTACATGTGGATGCATCACATGGTTGTGCCATGTGAGGGGTTAAGCTCTGCTAGTCTCAGCTGGGATCTATTATGTGGCTGTGGTTACCTGGCAGGTTGTCTGGGGATTGGTTGGTAAAGAAAAGCCACATTCACATGTTTGTGATTGGCTAGTAAGTAATGTCATCCAGAGCTTATTCATATGGTAGAAGCAGAGTTCCAATAAAAAGCGCAAAAGTACAAAGGACTTTTGAGGCCTACACTTAGAGCAGGTATACCATCATTTCTGCCACATTTTATCAACAAAAGTAAGTCTCAATGTCAAATCAGATTCAAGGGATAGGCAATTACACTTCATCTTTTGATGAAAGAACTACAAAGTCATACTGCAAAGGGTTTAGACTTAGAGAGGTATGAAGAGTAATGGCCATTTTTGTAAGATGCCTATTGCTAAGGTTACCAACATATGGAACTTGAGTTGACATAAACATTTATTTTGCAGCTATTTCTAAATCGAGTTTTCTATTTTACTGATTATTTAAATATTTTGTATTTTATTCTCAACCTGTCATTTAAGTTTTGAGAATAAAATATGTGCTTTAAATATACTAAATTTTGTCATGAATTTAAAATCAATGGTAGGAACTCAATATTCAAAGTGTGAACTCAAAATTAAGGTAATCTGAAAAAAATATATACTAGAGGCCCAGTGCACAAAAATCCCTCAGCCCAGCCTGTGTCTCTCACGGTCTGGGACCCCTCGGGGGATGTCCACCTGCTGGCTTAGGCCCGCTCCCAGGGGGATTGGGCCTAAGCTGGCAGTCAGACATCCCTCTGGCAGCCCAGGAGCCCTCAGGGGATGTCCACTTGCTAGCGGGGAGCAGGCCTAAGCTGTAGTCGGACATCCTTAGCGCTGCTGAGGAGGCGGGAGAGGCTCCTGCCACCACCGCTGTGCTGGCAGCCATCAGCCAGGCTTGTGGCTGAGCAGAACTCCCCCTGTGGGAGTGCACTGACCACCAGGGGGAAGCTCCTGCATTGAGATTCTGCCCCCTGGTGGTCAGTGTGTGTCATAGTGACCAGTCATTCCCAGTCTTTCTGCTGTTAGGGTCAATTTGCATATTAACCTTTTATTATATAGGATAGAGGCCTGGTGCATGGGTGGGGGCCGGCTGATTTGCCCTGAAGGGTGTCCCAGATCAGGGTGGGGGTCTCGCTGGGGTGCCTGGCCAGTCTGGGTGAGGGGCTGATGGCCATTTTCAGGCTGGCCACATCCCCTTCAGGGTGGGGGTCCCCAATGGGGTGCCTGGCCAGCCTGTGTGAGGGGCTGATGGCTGTTTGCAGGCTGGTCACACACCTTTCAGGGTGGAGTTCCCCACTGGGGTGCCTGGCCACCCTGCCTGAGGGGTTGATGGCCGTTTTCAGGCTAGCCACCCCTGCGGGCTGGAAGCAGGGTATCTGGGGATTTAATTAACTTCTATAATTGAAATTTTATAGCCTTGGTCCAGCTTGAAGCCTGTGTTGCCCCTGGCAATCGAGGCTCCCAGAGCTTCCTTGAGCGGAGGCTACGCCGGCTGGAAGCAGGTATCTGGGGTTTATTTATCTTCTATAATTGAAACTTTGTAGCCTTGAGCGGAGCTGAGGACTGGCCAGGGCAGGCGGGAAGCTTGACTTCCTCCATCACCAGGGGCAACTCAAACCTCTTGCTCGCTCCAGCTCCGTGGCTGCCGCAATCTTGTGACGAAGTGAAGGAGTGACAGTTAATTTGCATATTGCTCTTTTATTAGATAGGCTATTTCAAATATATTTTTATCTTCTATATTTTTGGTGACTGAAGAATCTTATTATTTGTCCAAAACACACTGTATATGGAACTAATGATAATCAGTATTTATCTTCAAAACCAATGAATTATCATGATCATTACTGAAACAAATTGATCATGGTTAGAAATAAATAGTCCAGATCTAGTAAATGTCCCTTCTGACTATTTTGAATATTTTATTGTTACACAAGAGAAGAAATGTAGTGGGTGTTTACATCACTATTATTCTGGGACATGTTGGTCCTGTGGCAGAATGTGATTAGTGGGGGCTTTGGTCAGCTTCAGAGTCCCTCATCCCGGCATTACAATGCTTACCTGCGGCCTATCCAAGGAAGAGTATGACATTGGAGAGAGTTGCTTTTTCAGCTACAGGAAGAAATAATGCAGATCCCTGGCTCTGGCAAACAGCTTTGCATCAGATAATTGGTCTTCTCTGCGGTAATTATAAGCTTCCACTCAGTACCTCTGAAAAAAAGAAAATTAGAAAGCCTTCTCCTGGACTGCATCAAGACAGAAATGAAAATCAGAGGAGTCATCTGGGAAGGACTGGAGCCCAACAGCCTCTGTCAGAGGTCAGGACTAGAGGCGCCTGGGAAATGTGGAGTCTCCCAACAGGGACAACATGTGGAGAAAGAAGTGGAGTAAATCATCATTGTGTTTGTATTTTTCCAGTCCCTGGTAATTACTTGGGAAGGAGCCTCACAAGAAGAATAGATTTCCTGAGGACCCAGAATCATATTGCATATATTTTGAAGATTAAAACAGCAGTGACCATTTCATATCAGTGAAATTAGATAATGAAATACTGTATATCAATGCTAAAGTTATTTCCTTGTCTACAAGGCTATTATTCCTAAATGGAAATGCCAAATGCAGTAAATTATACGTAATAGTTTGTAGATAATGCAAGACAATAAGATATAAATACCTAAACAGCTAAGAATACTTGAAAATATGAAAACTTCACCTCATGCAATTGTACTATTTTAATAAAACAATTATCAGGTAAAATTTTAAAAAATAAACCAATCTACATATTTTTTTGTTATCTGAAATCCCAAGATCAGTTCAAAGTAAGCGCTCTTTCCACAAGGACACAATAAGCTGTTGTAGGGTTGGGCATCAGATTACAATTTGCTTTCCCTGCCCAGAGCAGATTTGGTCTGAAAAACTTCATAGTCCAGGACTGCTTACACTGTAAAAATTGAGCAAGAAAATAGAGTTAAATTTTGTGTGCAGCAATTATTCTTGCTGTCAGCAGGAGCAAAACTTACCACCAAAGGAAAATCCGAAGAGTCAAATGAACTGTCATGTAGAAGTCAAACAGCCCTCCTGAGTTCTTTCTTAGATTCCTAATACAAGTCTTTGGTGAGAACTGTCATAGCTTACAGTTTAATGAACGTAGGCAAAATCAGACTCCAGGAACGGCTTTTATATGGACATGGAGTATATAATTTCTTTATAGAAATCTCACTTGGAGGAGCTGGGAGTAGTCACAACTCGGAGTTTAAGAATGGATTGGTGAAGGCTTGGGCGGGGTGGGAACCAGGGAGTGAGAAACAAGGGGGGAAAAGAGGGGGCATCTGTAATTCTCTCAACAATAAAGACAAAAATTAAAATAATGCATTTACTTCTAGGATATGTACTCCCTTTCATACACATATACATTTGCGAGGAGATGGCATCCTACCTGACTCCTATGTGCTATATGTCTGCTGGTATATCTTCTATAACTATATGTTGCTCATTTCTCTCCCAGCCAATTTATTAAAGAGTGGACTATCTTTCTTTTGAGACAAAGTCCTCACTGGGTACATATCTTTGAGATATTCACTCTTTCTTCTCAATTTCTACATCCTCAGTAGCTGCCCCACAGGGAACTATGAAGTTTTAGAAGGAAAAGATACTGAACAACAAGTAAGCCCAGCTTCTCAGCAGTGATCACCACAGATGTCCTGGCAGCTGTTTTTGCTGCACGCTTTCCACCCCAGGATGGCCCCCTGTCAATATGTTCATTCACTTTGCATCTCATTCATACTGGGGGGCTCACATTGAACCGGCAAGGAACTATCCTTTATTAGTTTAGCAATGGATGTCACAGATTCTTCCGGATATCTCATAGCCTTCAAAAGGCATGAAAATTATGCTTTTCATAAAAAGTAATCCAATTCTCTTGTTAAAAAAAGGTATGTGTGGCCCTGGACAGGTGGCACCGAAGGTTGGAACATCCTCCCGTACACCAAAAAGCTGTGGGTTCTTCCAGATCAGGGCACACACCTAGGTTGCAGGTTCAATCCCCAGGCAGGGGGTGCATACAGGAGGCAACCCATCGATGTTTCTCTCTCTCTCTTCTTCCTTCCTCTCTCTCTAAAAACCAATAAAAACATATCCTCCGGTGAGGATTACAAAAAAAAAAGAAAGCAGAGGTACTTGCCTTATTTCCCTGCAATTAGAGATTCTGTTGGCATACCATTTCTTTCTAGTTTAATTTCGCACTTCGCATTTCCTGATTAGGTGCAGTACTCAGAGGTCATTGGGCACAGGCTGCACTCAAATTAAAATATGTTATTATTCAGGGCGCAGCGGTGGTGCTTATCTGGAGACTGTCCCGCATACACTTTAGGTTTGGCATTTGCTAAAGAAGACTGCAGTCAGCAGGGGCCGGGAGCCGGCACTACACAGCGCCCAGGATGCAGGAGCATCTGGAGGAGGAGAGGAGAGGCACCAGCAGGCACGGAGCAGGGGGCTGGGCGTGCAGCAGCTCCGTGTCTGCACTGTGAGAGTCTGGGACGCCAAGGGGCTGTCAAAGACAGATAGGCACGCATGCATGGAATTCAATTTGTGCTGGTCCACAAGTCAGCGGTGCAGTGAGTGACACGCCCCGAGAGCCTCCTTGGATAGTTCGGAAATTAAACCTCCCTTTCAGACCCTCTGATAAATCGCAGGCAGGGCAGCTCTCCTATGGAAAAGAAAAGGAAGAACAGAAAGTGTGGGATCTCAAGGGAAACTTGTATTTGCACCCTTCCCCCAAGAAAAAAAAAGTGCATTAGTTACATGAAGTCAAGACACTGAATTCTAAGGGCTAGGAAACCTGTCTTGAGCAAAGGTAATGCCATCGACGTCGTAGTTACTGCAGTTTGAGAGGCCATGAAGCATCGTTTCAGAGGGAACAGCCAAATACCTGTTTAGATATAAAGAAAGTCTACAGGATTGGAGATGCATAAATGCTCCCAGGACTCTACTTTCCTGCCAGGAAAATTATCTTCCCCCTTTTCCCACCCACCAGCCTCCCTGCCAGGAGCAGGAAATATATACCATAAGTAGTTGCATTTGGCCCCCCTAGAATGCTTCGTCTGTACTCTCTGATGCATACTTTGGATACTAAAGAGGCTGGGACAGGGAAAATTATAACAATTAAACAACCCCCTACCCCAAAGTAATTTGTGTTCTTGGGATTACAGTATACAAACAGTACAGTGGATTTTGTCTCTGGATCCTCCCTCCTGAACTAGTCTCTTGTGCCACCACGTGGGACTAATTTCAGGTTCCTAGCTGAGCCAGGCGCTCTGTCTATACCTGTTCTTTCTTCTGCCTGCTCTTTCCCTTCTCTCTGCATTGTCCCTAACTAACCCCGACTCCTTCCTCATTTTAGATCTGGATTCTTTCCTGACTCTTTTCATTGGGATAAGAAATACATCCTTCCCCAGCCTCACAATTCCTCACCTTACTTGACCTAATTTAAGGACTATGAGTCCACAGCATAGTCTGCATACAATGAACTAAGAGTGTGCATGACCAGGACACGGTCACCTTCCCTATGGGCAGGAGTGTGTCCTTCTACATGCATCTGTCTGACAATCCGCATCCCCCAGTGTGTGCTAGTGTACACACCTTGTTCACACCTTGATAGCATACCTCCAGTAAAGAACACACTAAGAAGCAATGTTTTAGTGAAACTGCTACATATTTCAATCAAAACTACATTGAAATAAAAACCTGCCCAGGACTGCCACTACTGAATTCATGTTGAGAGAACTGCATACATCTCGTGGAATGATGCACCATAGAAAAAGATTACCCTCGGTAATGCAGATGCGAATCAAAGGCATTCATTATTTATAAATGGGTAACTTTTAATGACTGAATATTGCTGGGATTACGCAGATGTGCCCCAGCTGTACTGCTAGAGGGTTTCATCATCTTCTATATAAAAACGAATTATGTCTACAAAATATCTTACTTGACTTAGGTTACAGACATCATGACAAAAACAAATATATCTTGTTAACAGAGAGCCTTATATAATTTCAGTTTGAATTTAAAATAATAACAATTCTCAAAAATGAGTACTCTTCCCCCTTGACATTCTACCTTCTATTTAACATACCCAAGTATTCCCTTTTTAAAAAGTTTGTGCTAAATATATTAGAACTCATTTCAGACCCCTTTTCAACCAATTTATATGAAATGGAGATCCCCGTGCAAGAAGTCACAAAGGGCAGAAAACGATTTCCACAAGTTCGAGTTTAAAGATTATTATTTTCCTTCTTTCTATAAGACAAGCTCAAATGTCAACACATCAGCATATCATTTACTTTGCATTGAGCTGTTTTGCCCGGTATTCACAAATTCAATTACTTTTTAGTTGCATCAAACCAGATTCTTACATGATTGTATTCAGCAGCTCTGAATTTCCTTCCTGCTGCTTTTTGCTTTGCTTGCTTAAAAAAATAAAATTAAAAACCTGCCATTTTTTGTGTGTGATGTATCAGCAGGTTTAATTCTCATCAGGGTGAAATAATGACTCATCCAAGAAGTGAATCCATCGCCGTGAGTCACATTTTCAATCTAGGTGAGATGAGATATTCTTGTGTAGTTATTTTCACGCCCAAGAAAAGCTGTAGTGTATGACAGATACGAAACAATTACTCCCTTTACAGTTTATTTTTACAAAGTACCTGATTTTGGACTTTCTTAAAAAGTAAGACTTAATCTTCAAACCCACCCCTTCTTCCCCACTATAATCATATTTTGTAATTATTAGATTCACAGAATGCTTACATGTAAAAATCACCCTTTCTCTTGTTTTCAAAGAAAATGTATATAGGTCATTGCTTCAGTTTGAAAGTGACTTTTGTATCCACTGTTTGCCCTTGGTCAAAAGCAAACATGATGAGAGAAGAAAATAGAAATAGATGAACTCAAACTACATTTAGAATTGCAACTCATCAGTATCTGAGTTGCCTTGCAGTTTTGTCTATAATTTGGCCAGAGAAACAGAGCCAAACTCCTTATATATGAGGAGATTTATCATAGGTATTGGCTCACTTTATTAAGGCTGAACAGTCCCACAATCAGCTATCTGTAAGCCGGATAAGGAGGAAATCTGATAATCTGAAGGCCTGAGAACCAGGAACCCTAATGCTCTCAGGGCCAGGGAAGGTGCATGTCCCAGTTGAGAGAGCAAATTCGTTCTTCCTCCACCATTTTGCAGGCCCACAATGGATGGAATGATGTTCCTCAGCATAGGTGAGGGCAATCTTCTATATCAGTTTGTCTATTCAAATGCTAATCTCTCTCAGAAAGACACACACACATACTCAGAGATAATGTCCTACCAGATATCTGGACATCCCTTAGCCGAC